AGCTACTACCGTATGAAGAAAAGCCAGTCTGGAACTTTGGCATAGGCGCTTAGGACACTCCTGTGAGAAGACTGTCAAAGGTGTTATGAAAATGTGTAATGTTTCTTCTAGTGAAAACAAATTGAACAATGTTTGTTCTGTGTGTTTGCAAGGCAAGGCTCACAAACTGCCTTTTTGTAATTCATTGACTGAATACAAAGAAATTTTCAGCTGGTTTGTCAGATGTGTGGGGACCTGCACCTGTAGTTTCGACTGAGGGTTACGCATATTATGTATCGTTTATTGACGTGTTTAACAGACATACCTGGGTGTATTTAATTAGAAAGAAATCTGAAGTCAACCAATGCTTTCTCAACCTTGTTAAAATTGCTGAAGTTCAGTTTGGGAAGAAAATCAAAGCGCTGCAGAGTGATGGTGGAGGTGAATATCAAGCCCTGAAGAGTTGGTTTTTTACCAATAGTGTACAACATCGAATCTCCTGTCCCAGCACGTCAGAACATAATGGGAAGGCTGAATGAAAACATCGCCACATTGTTGAGATGGGACTAGCCATGTTAGCTCAAGCATCACTGCCAATAAAGTTCTGGAGTCATGCCTTTACTATGGCAGTGTATATCATAAACAGGCTCCCATCTGAGATAATTTTAGGCAAGACCCCATTTGAGGTTCTCTATCAGAAAGCTCCTAACTACTATGGAATGAGAGTGTTTGGATGTGCTTGTTTTCCCTTCTTGATATCGTTTAATCAACATAAGTTGGATTTTCGGTCAAGGCAATGTGTGTTTCTTGGGCCCAACACCTCACATCATGGATACAAATGTCTAGACAGTGATGGCAAAGTCTTTGTGTCTCGACATGTGAGGTTTGACGAGTAAGTATTTCCTTTTGATAAGAATCAACTCACATGCAGTTGCTACAAACAAGAAATGATCACTACCGGACAATTTCCTATAGTTTATAATGAACATGGGGCCACACCGAATTCCAATGTGCATGTGCCTCTTGGTGTGGTGATAGATACGCATAATCCAAGCCAAGATGTCAGTAGGGCCATGCCCTTTGAGATGGTGGATGCACGTGGTAATGAATCCAATGCGCATATGTCTCCTAGCGTGGTGCCCACCCACGTTATTACTCCAACAAACGCACATAGTCCAAGTGTTGATAGGGTTGCGACAAACATGAATAATGAGAGTGATGGTCATGGTGTATTTTTACGTGGGAATCAAGAAGGCATTTGGCATGGTGCATAATCACATGGGGTCCAAGAATTTTGTCATGATACGCATGGGGTCCAAAGTCCAAGCAATGGTGTTAGTGCGCATATTGAAGAAGCACGTGAACTAAGCAATAGTGGATGCACTGGAGATTTAAACGTTGATGCGCATGACAATAGTGGGCGCACTCATATTAGAGATTCAAATATTGATGCGCATGGTATGGTTCCCACTCAAATTCAAGAGTTAATTAATGGTGATGTACATGGCATGGTGCCCACCCACGTTGATGATTCAACAAATGCATGGGTCCAAGAAGAAGTTAGTGGTGCGGTAAACATAAATAATAATGGTGGTGACAGCTCACATGGGGACCAAGGTGCGACAAACATGAATAATGGGAGTAGTTTTGATGGCAGTCTTGGTGGCAGCTCACGTGGGGTTCAAGAAGAAAATGGTACAGCAGAGCCATGTGTTGAAATCCAACGCAATGTGGAGAGTGGTGTACCACAAGCTGTCTCTAATGCACATCCCATGATGAACAGGAGTAAGCATGGAATCTGGAAGCCAAAAGTTTATAACGTTGCAATTTCAGATCGAGCGCCAGCTAATATCAAAGAGGCATTGATGAGTCCTCTTTGGAAAGAAGCTGCACAAGCAGAGTATGATGCACTGATAAGGAATGGCACGTGGACACTAGTTCCTCTTCCTAGAGATAGGAAGGCAATAAACTGTAAATGGAGTTTTAGAATAAAGCGAAATGTTGATGGCTCGATTTCAATGTACAAATCACGCTTGGTGGCGAAAGGTTTTCTTCAAAAACCAGGGATTGATTTTGATGAAGTCTTTAGCCCGATGGTTAAGCCTGCAATGATCAAGGTAATCATTTCCTTGGCGTTGTCATGGGGGTGGAAGCTGAGACATGTTGATGTCAACAATGCCTTCTTGAATGGGCTGCTCACTGAAGAGGTGTACATGACTTAACCAACAGGGTATGAGCAAGGCAATGGTGAGTTGGTATGTAAGCTACACAAGGCGATTTATGGGTTGAAACAAGCACCGAGGGCCTGGTTTGACTGAATGCATACCTGCAATCTGAAGGTTTTTGCCTAGCTAAGTCGGATGCCTCTCTTTATGTTCGAAAGACCTCGGATAGCTTGGTGTACTTATTGGTGTACGTTGATGATATCATCTTAACATGGAATAAAGAGGTGGTTGTTCAAAGTGTAATAGACAGACTGAATGCTCAGTTTTCGTTGAAGGATCTTAGACCATTGAATTTTTTTCTAGGAGTGGAAGTCGGTTATGAAGGTGGTGATGTTGTTTTGAGTCAACAAAAGTATATCCAAGACCTTTTACAGAAGCATGGTTTTGGTGAGGTAAAGAGTCTTCCCACCCCTATGGTCTCTAACATCAAGTTGTCAGCCAAGGAAGGAACACCACTTGAAGATGCTGCACGGTACAGAAGCATCGTAGGTGCCCTACAGTACATTGTGATCACTCGACCTGATGTGGCGTTTGCTGTGAACAAGGTGTGTCAATTCATGCAAGCCCCACTTGATGTTCATTTTATGGCAGTCAAGCGAATACTTCGTTACCTACAAGGTACTGTTGACTTTGGACTGCGTTTTACACCCTCCTCGAGAATGGCTTTGATTGGTTTTGCAGATGCAAATTGGGGCTCGGATGTTGATGATAGACGGTCAACCTCAGGGTTTTGTATATATTTTTGTGGGAACCTAGTCTCGTGGAGCTCTAGAAAGCAACAGGTTGTTGCACGTTCAACTGCTGAGGCTGAGTACAGAAGTGTGGCTTGTGCAGCTGCTGAGATGGTGTGGCTTCGATCGTTGTTGGGGGAATTGCATATAGTTTCACATGGCAAGGCCACATTGTGGTGTGATAATACAAGTGCAGTCGCTGTATGTGCTAATCCCGTACTGCATTCCAAGTTCAAACATGTTGAGTTGGACTTGTTTTTTGTTCGAGAAATGGTGGCCATGGGACAGCTACAAGTGCATGAAGTGCCTACAGTTGAGCAGGTTGTTGATGTGCTAACCAAGCCTTTATCAGCACCTTTGTTTTTTAAACACAGACAACAGTTGCTGGTGATGCAGATCAAGAGTAGATCAATTTGAGTTTTGAAGGAGGTTTGAAGTTGAAGATTGCAAAGGGAATGTTAGTATAAATGATCATTCATTTCATTTTGAGTTTGAATGAGCATTGACCATATTTGTGCGTGAGTTTGAAGGAGGTTTGAAGTTGAAGATTGCAAGGGGAATGTTAGTGTATGTAAATGCATGGCATATAAGTTCACTGATGTGCATGATGGTTGTGCAGCTGAGGATTGGTTCACTGCAACTGATCAGTTGAAGTAGTTAATTTGTTGTGCAATTAGTTACTTCATCTGTTATAGCTATAGTACTAGCTATAAATACTCTCCTTGAGAGTTGTAATACACACGCTTGAAAATAATGAATTTCAGAAGATTTGTTTTCTCATTTGCTTTTCTCTGTTCTTGTTTACATAGATTAGACATATATTGTTAATCTTTACAATCAAACTTTAGTTAAATAGATCTTAAAAAGACTTGTAAAATTTCTTTATGTAATAATTGGGTGCTTAAAAGTACTTGGTATGTGTGTGCAAACAAATGATTATTTGATTTTATCGATTTGAATTTGAGGTATAACTCTTTTTATAATAAAAATAATAATTATACAGCTGGTCCAACTATTATATCTTTTAATTGTATATTACTGATTATACCATCAATTTTTGATTCAGTCAATTTAAAGCATAAATTCATTCAATTCTAACAAGATGAGTTACGACAATATATGTATGTGTGGATATTGTATAGTTCTAGGTATGATAGGATAGATGGAGACCATACACATAAGAAATTAATTTTGGAAATATCGATGAGTGAAGTAGGTGGGGAATTTATGTTCTCGTATAAAACTAAATTATAAACCAATGTTTGAGGTTTCTCTCTTTAAAATGGGACAACATTTGTATAGTTTGATAGGAGTGAGAGAAGATAATCAGTCGGATTGGGTTACATTTTTGTTTATCTGAATTTGATTTGAGTATTATTTTTTTATTTGATTCGATTTGAGTTTAAAAAAATTTTATTCGACTCGATATCTGACTTGAAATTTTAGATAAAAACTCACACATAATTTAACTTGATCCGACACAAATATATATATTACGTAAAATGGGGACCTAATTGAAAATAAAAATAGGGACATAATTTGATCCGATTGAATAGTTTTTACTTTAGTATCAAATTCAACTTGAGCAAAACTCGAATTAATAAAAGAATCATATAAAATTAGATCAAAATCTATTAGAATTGAATTAAATGCTCATCCATAGATATGAGAGATTCCAAAATTCATTGAACCGAAAAATCCAAATTAAATACCAAGATAGGAACTTATCCATTTTCTTAGATGTATTAAGTATAAACTTTTAAATTAGAGATATATAATTATGTTTGAACGTACTCGAATTTAGTTCTTAATTACGAAAATAAATAAATAAATAAATTTAGTTCTTAACATTTTCATATAATTTGTAAAATTATGCTTTATTTGTTTAGATTAAGATCAAATTAATGGGATAAAGTCATAATTAACCGTCCTTAATTGCAGATTTTGGGGGCATTTCGCAGTTTAATTACCATAACAACAACTAGGATTACCTTAGATGATCACAAAGCAAATTCAACATTTGATAACGTAAGTGATATACTGATATTCACACAAGCCATACATATTATCCCCAGCAATAGCATGCACGACACTTACCGGTGCTCCCTATACCAAAGGCAGCAAAACATCGAGCCAAAGCCCGCGATGATGATCCGACATCTGCTCTCGAAACAAACGATGAACTCGGCCGACTACTCTGCCGGTGCTTTTCGAAACTCAAGGACCACGATGCTGATGACAAAGAAGAAGGCGACGAAGGCGCAACATTGTTCATCTCGTTCAAGTTAAAGCACATCATTTTCCCGAACAACGCGCGCAAAAGACCGGATCTCGATCGTTTCTTGATGGATTTGGGGTTGGACTTGGAATAGTAAGAAGGTGGAGGAGCTAGAGGAGGAATGAGAGATGTAGTAGAAAATGCATGTTTCGGGGTACGGGGCTGAGACTCCCACGTGAAAGGAATAGAGCCCGAGACTCCACCATAGTAGACCCTTAAAGAAGAGTTTCCCACCGAGTTTTTTTCCTTTGATGAAAGCCTGGAAAAGAACTTGTCATCTTGCTTGATTCCCACAGCCTTGCTATGGGGAAGATCAGTGCTTGATGTGTGAAGCATGTTGTAAATAAATTTGTGGTGGGTTTCACTGAGAATTCAGAGAGAATCCAAGAAGCAGATGAGGGAAGGTTTAAGCTGTAGTATACGTGAAATGGGGGGTGCCGGGCATCTTCTTCGCCAATTTAAGACTTGAAAATGACTCGCTCCACTGTGGACCAAAAAAACAGCATTGGGACTAAGTGAAAGAATCTAAGCTTACAACCTAATCACAAGATTCTAAAAATCTAAGGGCTGAAATTTTATTAAAAAGATTAAATTAGGACTAAAGTGAAACTAATTAAGAAACTAAATGCCAAAAGTATACTAAGTTGTTAAATTAAGACCTAATTGCTACATTCACAACTTCATTGGGACCAAAATGGGTGAAATATAAGATTATCGACCCTAATTACTGAAAAAGTTAACGAAATAAGGATTTCCAGCGGCTAAATGATGAAAATTCCAATTAATTTTCATATAGCATTGTAATTATCAGTAGGATCAAGTAATTTGATTGTTTTGATATTACTTTTTCAGATTTTTTTAGTCCACAATAATGCATAAAATTGCGTAGTTGTAATTGTCTGAATCTAAATCTTTAAGGAAAATAATATTTTTTTGTTATTAAAATTATTTAATAAATTTCATAAATAATTACATTTAAATTTAAAAAGAATGAATAAATATATTTGATTCTACTTAAATTAAGTAAATTCAATTTAATTAGAAAAAAATCAAATAAAATTTAAATAATAAAATGATACTCATAAATTAGATTAATTCAATATTTTTTATTTGACTTGATTAGATCAAATATTTATTCCTAATTATCATGTAGTCTTGAAAGAAAGAAAAAACAATTTGAAGTTTAAATGGTTTTAAGGTAGCAATAAGCAAAGGCTGCAAAGAAAGGCATGCGTATTTGGATGGAACAGTTATTTTGTACTTTATACTTTTATGCGGTTTTTACCTTTTACTGTCTACTTTAACTTGTGTATATATATAGTGTAGATACAACGTAACGGTCGAGTAATAATTAAATGGGTAAATTATACATTTATTATTTAAACTATCAGTTTTGATTTATTTTAATACTTAAACTTTTAATATTTTTTAAAAGCATACATACTATTTAGTTTTTATTTTATTTTAATACTCGTCGTTATAAACTTAGAAGAAATGTTGCAACTTGGCATTTTTATGGGTAAATCACATCATGTATCACTCAACTATCTTCTCACTTCTATTTTGGTCATTGAAGTTTAATTTTTTTAATTTAATTACTTAACTTTGAAATTACTCCAAATTTAATCACTCTAACTTTCAAATTTAATTTTTTTAATTATATATTAATAAAAAATTCCATGTCACAAAATATTATTAATAAAATAAATTAGAGTGATTAAAATATAAACAAATAAAAAGTTGAGTAGTTAAATTGAACATTTTTAAACTTTAATGATCAAAATAGGATTAAGAAGATAGTTAAGTGATGAATGATGTAATTTACCCATAAAAAGTGCCATGTGCAAAAGTTCCATTAAAATTTTAACGATACTAAAATGAATAAAAACTAAACGTTAGGTATAATTTTAAAGAAAAAAATTAAAAGTTTAGATATTAAAACAGATTAAAACTAATAATTTAGGTATTAAATGTATTTACCCTAATTAAATTTAGGGTGGTAAAAATATGGAACACAAAACGCATACAACCAATAATGGATAGGGAGGAATATATAAGGGAATTTGTATTTATGAAAATTTTAAATTTTATTATATTTAAGGTTTTTTATATATTTTTATTGATAATATGTTTTTATCACCTTACAATTTTATAAATTCATCTTTCTCTAAAATTTTATAGATTTGTCCCCTAAAATAAAATTATGCATCGAAAACAATTAAAAGTAAAAGCTTATTTAATTTGAACACAATAACATTAAAAGTAAATACCCATTATAATCTAAATTTAGTTGACATAATAAGGTGAAATATTAAAATTTTAAATTTTAAAATTTAAATTATGAATAGAGTAAGTTGGATTAAAAGTAGGAATATTTTTTTCAATAATAAAATATGATTATAAAGTAATATATTTTTTTGAATACACTTATGAACCATACAAACACAATTGTTCAAAAACTATTATCTTTAAGAAGATCAACAATCACTTTAATCATTGAGGTCGCTTAATAAATTTAAACATGAACGAAATTAAAATCAAATATTGGGGAGAAAACTTACTTAAGTTCAAAACAATATAAACTTATTAGGTATTTAATCTAAAAATTAGAGGAGATAAAAGTCTAATTTTATTCAAGTTTAAATCTATAGAGGCTTAAAATACTATTAGACTATAGATTTTGGTAGTCCATAAATAAATTTTTATGATACCCTAGTCGGTCAATAAATCAAATATATATCATTAAATTAAAATAAATATGCATTATTAAAGTTTAATCATTAACTCTTTATTTGCATGAAATTTTTAATTTTCTAAAGTGAAAGGAAAAAAAAAACATTGATTGCATTTGAAATTTTAAGGTGACCAACTAATTATTAAGTCACCACAATTTTCCTACTTTAATTATACATTTAACATTTAATATATATATTTAAGGAGCGCTTCTTGTCTTCTTTTAAATTAGTTTTTATAAATTAATTATCATAACATGCAAATGGATTAAATAATGAACCATTTTGTTAACCAGCACATGCTTTTGGTTATTTATATACGGGCTATTTCCATATGACGACGGTCCTCAAACTATGACCAAGATTTTAAACAAGTCACTAGACTCTAAAATGTTTTAGTTAAGTCCTTAAATATATGTATCATATGAATCATGTTTTTTCGTTAGTCTTAGCCATTAGCTTGCCGGTTATATTTCAGCTCAAATATGATGTAGATTACATGTAAAACATATGGATTAAATTGTGATCATGCTAGAAATATATCTTTTAAAAGTTTTATTAATATTAGAGACGAAGCTAAAATTCTTATTGAGAGTCAGAATCTAATATATTTTAACACAATTCAATAATATTAATATTTTCCCCTAATTTTAACACGTCAAATTTAAAATAATATTTAAAGTTTGAATTGAAGATGAAACTGAAAAAAAAAACTATCAATACTTCAAAGATTTAACTAAAATATTTTAAAATATAGGAATCAACTTATAATCAAATAATAATTTGAAATGTTTAAGGGAATTAGCCCTTATATATATTTATAAGAAATTAAAGACAATTAAAAAGAAAAATAATAGACAAATCCCAACTGTCCAACGCTCAAAATAAGGTTTTTTGTCCTTTTTAAGTCCGTTAAGATTTATTGCCGTTGAAGCACTCACTGTGTCTGCCCTTTTACCCCCACACGCTTTAGATTTCTTTTTATCGCTCAAACATTTCCCATTCCCCGAAAAGGGTACCCACCTAAAACCAAAATCTTCCTTTTATTTACCTCCCAACTCCACTTAACGAATAGGAAATTTCTCCAAAAACAAGGGCATTTCTGACTATAAGACAACAGACTCAAAATTTTGCCGTTTCCTCTTTTAAATGTCGCTTTGACTGTCTTTAACTCACGAGTTTTTCAGGCAGTAGCACACACACCCCCAACCAAACATTATTAACATCTTCGCAAATTTAAGTTTAGGGTTTGTTTGTTTTGTTTACGCTTCTGGGTTTCGCTTGTTTTCTGGAATGGAAGTGGAGAGCTGTGGTTTTGGTGATTCAGGCACCAAAAACGGTGGTTTGAGCGGCGGTGTTAGAGCTGAGATCGATACTTCGGCGCCTTTTGAGTCGGTGAAGGAGGCTGCTTCTCGATTCGGTGGAATCGGTTTCTGGAAACCCTCTCAGCATAAGCTCGTCTCTGAAACCGAGGTTTAATTTCTACCCTCAAAACACACACACACACATATTGATGTTTATTTTTTTATTCCTTTTAAGGAAATAATACTGGATTTCATGTGTTTTTCTAGCTTTTAAGGGAAAAATCAATGTGGGTTCACAAAGTTCTTACTTTTAGTTTATATATATAAAAATAAGATGCTCAATGGGGTGGCTTTATACTTTTGATGTTGATTTTGCATCTTATATATGTATGTATGTATATTTGCTTGTGTATGTATGTCTACTTGAAGGCAAACCGGTGTGAATTTTAAGCTAAGACTTTCAGGAGGAGATTAATATATGTTGTACTAGAAATGTGCTATATATCATTGTTTACAAGGCTTCATGTGTCGTTTATCGGTTATAACGATCCACACATTTGTAAAAATGAATTTGAAACATTTAACATATGGTAAACTTTGTGGCTTTCATATTATTTTAGCTTTGAAGCTTCTTCTCGTAGCGTCTTCTTTCTGTATGATAAGCTTTTATAATAAGAATCGTCTAGGAAGTCTCTCGTTTCGGTCTTTGTGGTCTTAGTATGAAGTTATGGTTTATGGTCGCTGAGTGTTTTAGAATTATTCGCTTGTGTGTGTTGTGACTGCTTTGTCTTCTGATAAGTTCTTAATGTTTCACAGCACGATGTGGAAGTGGTTGACATTGCGAAATTGGAGGAGCAAGCTGTGCAATTGGAGAAAGATCTCATTGTTAAGGAAAGAGAAACGTTGGATGTGCTAAAAGAACTCGAAACAACGAAACTAACCGTTGAAGAACTAAAATTAAAGCTGCAGAAAGAAGCTTCCGAAGTAAATGTGAGCCTTGAGAAGAACAAGGATGAAATGAAAGAAGCCGAGAAAGAAAATCATCAAGTTGGCCATCCAAACTTGGGAGGAAATTTGAGCCCACATCCACAGTCGGCTCCCGGTTTAATCTTAATGGAGTTGAAGCAGGCCAAACTGAACCTTTCCAGGACAACTAATGATCTGGCAGACATTCGAGGTTCAGTGGGCTCACTTAACAATAAATTAGAGAAGGAAAGAATTTCTCTTAAGAAGACTCGAGAGAGGCTAAGTCAGAATTCCTCAAAGATATCATCCCTTGAGGAAGAGTTAAGTCAAACGAGAATTAAACTTCAAGTAGTGAAAGATGCTGAAATCAAAAGCTGTGCTGATAATCCTTTGGATATATCAAGGGAACTTCAAAGACTGAGTTCGGAGGCTGAGCAATTCAAGAAATTAGGACAAGCGACAAGATCAGAGGTTTCGAGAGCTGTTTCTGATATTGAACAGACTAAAATGAGAATCAAAACGACCGAGATGAGGCTACTTGCAGCCAAGAAAATGAAGGAAGCTGCTAGAGCTGCAGAAGCTGTGGCTCTTGCAGAGATCAAAACTCTTTTGTGCAAGGAGAGTTTGATGGGCATTCCTGTGCAAAAGGCAGAAGGGGTGACTATTTCATTTGAAGAGTACAATGCCTTAATGTGCAAGGCTCAAAATGTTGAGGAACTTTCTAATAGGAAAGTGGTAGATGCTATGCTCCAAGTTGATGAAGCCAATGTTTCGAAAATGGATATCTTGAAGAAAGTAGAGGAGGCCACCGAGGAAATCAAAACTAGTAAGAAGGCCTTGGAAGAAGCATTGAACAGAGTAGAGGCTGCAAACAAGGGCAAGCTGGTGGTTGAGGAGGCTCTCCGGAAGTGGAGATCCGAGGGTCAAAAACGCCGTTCTGTTCACAACTCTACCAAGTTCAAGAATTCATACCCATCTCAGAATCGAAAAGATTCTCGTTTATTTGATGTGAATGGATTGAATCTGGTTAGCAACGATCCAACCCCAGTTTTGAAGCCAACCCTATCAATAGGGCAAATACTTAGCCGAAAGCTGCTTCTGCCTGGGGACTTTGAGGATGAGATGTTGGCAGAGAAAGGTACTATGAAAAGAAAGGTGTCATTAGGTCAAATGCTTGGCAAACAAAATGCCGATTTGATCAACGATTCTCAGAAGACCGAGAAAGAAAACAGTCACAAGCAGTTCTCAGGAAAGAGGAAGAAGTTTGGATTTGCTCGGTTTTCTCTGCTTTTGGCGAAACAGAACAAGAAAAAGAAGAAGCCAACTCTCAACTTGAGGTAGTGCTGTGATGGGGTTCCTTTGTTCTAAGTAACTCTTAATTTCTTGTCTTGTTGACCACATTTCTCTTCAAGCTGCCTACATTATGTTATGTATGTTAGGTTCTTTTCATCTTTTATCTCTATGGTGCTTGTAAAGATGCTAGGGATATTTATATCCTGTTTGAATATCATCTATTACATGTTTGATGTCATGACAACAATATGAATCGACTAAGTTAAGCTTCGGGCTTTATTTTGGTATTCGTGCAAAGCAGGCAACTATGTTTTTATTCCAAAACCATGAAGATCCTTGATCAAATTACAAGCAATATAGCTCAATGATTCATTGACACTTGATCAAGTTAACTAACATCGTGTACTTATTCTACACGAGGATGATAAGCAAAGGGGACTGCAAACAACTCATGTTTTCGTCTTATCGACAAACCACGAGCCTCAGTCATGTCCAAGTCTTCAGGTTTCATTCCATTAGGAAGCTTCCAATCAAAGTGAAACAACAATTGTGCAATTGGCAGCTCGATGTTGCTAAGAGCAAATGAAATACCGGGACATGTTCTCCTTCCTGCACCGAATGGGATGTATCTGAAATCTGTTCCCTTGAAATCAATTGAATTTTCATAGAACCTCTCTGGATAAAACATATCAGCATCATTCCAATGCTTGGGGTCTTTTCCAATTGCTCCTGCATTAACAAGGACTTTAGACTTGACGGGTATATCATAACCGTCGAGCCGACAGCCCTCTCGGCATTCTCTTAGGACAAGAGGCACAGCAGGATGCAGCCTTAATGATTCTTAGTTCATGAATGCCTGCTTCATCCACATCTTCTAGGCCATCAAAGACTAGTCTTACCTCGTTCTTTGCCTTCTCCATGATTCTGGGGTTCTTCAGCAGTTCCGCCCTCGTCCATTCGACTGTGATCGACGATGTTTCACTCCCAGCACTGAACATGTCCTGAAAGTGAACAATGGAGTCATGGTATAAGAGTCATAGTATAAGCTTTACTCAATCATGGATGTTAAGCACTATGCAATATTGAAAAACCAGAGAACTGACCAAGATGATTGCTTTGATGTTGTCAACAGATAGAGGAAACTCAAGCTCGCCCTTATCGTGAAGATCTAAAAGAATATCAACCAGATCTTTCACTTCTTCTCTATTGTCATCATCTGGTTTATGTCGTCTCTCCTTGTGCTCGGTGATGATGTCCTCAAGTATCTGATCGGCTTCTTTATGTAGCTTCTCGAACTTGGGCCTCCCACTGAGCCATTCCAGCAGTTTAAGGGAAGGGTACATATCAGCAATCGTGAATTTTCCAGACAACTTACTAACTTGAGTGATGATGGATATGAATGCTTCTAAATCTCTCGATTTCCCACTGAAGGCCGCTCTTGATGTTACCCCATACGTCAACGAGAAAATCTTCTTGCTAAGATTGATAGGGGAACCTTCGGATAAAGCGATGGAGTTGATGAAGTTCAACACCTCCTCCTCTCGGACTTTCCTGAACGATTCAACACGCTTCGCACTCAAAAGCTCCGTAACGCAAATCTTGCGGAGATGTCTCCAGTAACTACCATAAGGTGAGAAAACAATATTAGTGGAATCATAAGACATGATCTTGGAAGCGAGTATGGCAGGTCTCGAAGCGAAGCTGATATCGTTGTTTTTCAAAGCTTCTTCGGCTAACCGTGGTGATGATATGACGATATTTGAAACCGTCCCGGTCTTGAGATGGATCAAAGGACCGTGGTTTTGAGCCAAGGTTGCCAATGTTTGATGAGGCATTGAACCAACCAGTTGGTGCATGTTCCCTATGAGCGGTAGCTTCCATGGGCCTGGAGGCAACCTTTTCACTGGTTTCTTAGGTCTCAGTATCTGATCCATGGTCACAAAGATGAACAAGCATATGAAGATGTTCATCATGATGGAGAAAGGATCCATAGGGATGAAGTAATGGCGATTTATCAATGCAAATGTTTAATATATCAAGCATCAATAATTTTCATCGTGGTTTCCATTTGCCTTGCCTTTTATCTTTACATGTTTGTATTCATTCATCTTTTGCGGTTTCAGGATAATGTAAACAATGCAATACCAACAATCGACGAAAATTATTTTTTTTTCTTTAATCTGATTTTAGGACGGGTCACATTGCAAGCACTCAATATTAGAAAGCCCGTTAAGATCTGAGTATCTGACAATTTGTATGCGGTATGCCCTAATCCAGATGCCAAGCTGTCCACCACGAAAGGACAATTTTGGAAGTCGTGATTTTAACTACCGCTATTAATTGAAATTATTATTTGATAAATTATTCGTAGGAAAAAATAATTTTACGACATTAAGATTATGAATGATATATTTTTAAGTATATTTAAAAAAATTAAAAATAAATACGAACCAACTTATCTTAGTAATTAAAAGAAATGTTGATTTTATTAGAAATCACGGGTGATTGAGTTTTTATTTTCAAGTTATTAAAAATATTTAAAATATATATTACTTTATAACCGTCGCTTAATCAAAAATAATAATAATAATATTTTTTTCCTAGAAGGGGAGAACAACTCTGGTCTATATCGCTTAAAATTTTCGTGTTTTCTGTCTATCTTAATTAATATAAATTTATATTCATCTTTATAATATTTAATACTTAAAATATTATTTTAATTTTAAATATTTTTATGAATATCTTAATTGTTTATATCTTTAAAAATATGTATTTAAAAATAAAATCTAGTAATCTAAATATATTATTGGACTTAATTAATATTCTAAAATTTATATTGTCTTATAATTATATTCTTAGATATACAGTTGAAGTATGTTTACAATATATATATATATGAAAAATATTTTAAAGATAATTATGATAAACGTGAAATAATATACTAAAATACGAGAGGAAAAACAATACATCCACAAGTAGAGATGGACATGGGTGAGTTGGGATTATCTGGTTAACCCTACTCATATAAGAAATATACACTCTGATTAATCGACTCGATATGAAAAAATATATATTTTTCATTCGAAATTTGATTTGATTTAAGTTTAAGATGATTTTATTCGACCCAAAATTTTATATATTTATTGAGATAAAATTTGAACCCGATCCGAAATAAATATATTTATAAAAAATATTAATTTTATTTGATAAAATAGAGGTTTAATTGAAAAAATATATAGAGATTGTATTATTGCAATTATTCTTATATATATAAGGTATAATTATATTATTTTTTGGGTTAAGTATTTTTCTTCATAAACTCAAACTCAATCTCAACTTATCATCTAAAAACTCTACTCGACTTGATTTGATTTAAATCCGACTCCCTTTTTAAATCCGACCCAGTGAAATCAAATCGGGCCAGAATCCGTTGAGCTCGGGTCCCATGCTACAAGTTATTTTAATAATAATAATAATAACCTAAACCGATAAATTTTAATCACACGGTAACAAGAGATCGTTACAAAGGACTGCATATACAAAAGTGAATGATCGACCGCAGAGTAACAAAACCTAGAGCAGGGATATGTTATAAGAAAGGCCAACGACCAATTCCAAAGCCTTGCCCAACCCGACAACACAAAGGGGAATAAACTTCCGTATCTTTTCTCCCTCTCCTCGTTGACCTTCCTTCCCCCAGGTAACGAAACCCTCTTTTCTTCCATTAATTCTCCATGTTTCTATCCAATTTTCATAGATCTAGCACTATCTTAATCTGGATTTGTTTCCCAAGTAATTTCTCTTGATTTTTTGTTAATTTTATGCAAAAAAACTTTGATGGGGTTTCTTCTTTTTCTTTGTTTCGGTTTAGTTTATTCTTTGGAAGACTCTCGGGATATGGATTTATTATAAGCTTTTATGTATTGGTGTTGAAATAATCTGCTTTTGAAATATTGGGAGGGGCTAACTTGTTTAACTTCAAAAGAATATACACCTAGTAAGGATTTAAACCCAAAACTTGAGGGGGGGCAAGGATTAGTTTTATCAATATTCAAAGTAATAGGGGCCTAAAGTGCTATTTGACCAAAAAAATTGAGAGGGTCAGAGCCCCTCCTAGAAACTGCAAAGTTCCGTCCCTGGTTCCTTGCGATTTTGATTGTTTGAAACTTACAGCTAGTAATTGAAGATCATATTAGTTTCTGTATTTGGATTTATCTCTTTTCAATTATAGACACGCCTGTTGAGTGATTTGTTTGTTACTTTAAGGATTCATCTCTTTGGTTATGTTGATCTAAAAGAAATTGACTTTTGCTTTTAGCATGCTTCCTTTTGAGTTATGAGATTCTCCTGCTATTTAATGAATAATTCCAGGCACTATGGATGCGAGATTCGGGCTCTTGCTCCTCTTTGTGTTGGGTGCTAGCTGGGCATGTAATGCTAGACATCTAGAAGTTGTCGAGGTAGTAATATCCGATGCATCAGGTAATTCACTTGGACTTTTCTTTTCCTAGTATATGTCGTGGGGGGTTGTTTGCTTATTGATATGAATTGAAAGACAATACGAGAAATACTCTGTTAACAATTAATAATTCAGATGTAGTTAGAAGGTAATAATTACCAAAGCTGAACCAATTATCTTTTTCTTGATGAATATGTTCTAGTATCCTTAAGTTGGTTGCAAATATGTTTTAATCAAATTAATGATTAACAATTCGAAGCTGAAAGTGAGAAAATAATCAAAGTGCAATGACTCGGAACTCCTGGTTCAGTTGTGCAGATAAACCAGGGACCAGATAATGAAGTAATAGAAAAGGTTGCTCAGAACGACAATGTGTGCACCTTGTGTGAGCAATTTACTGTCGAGGCAGTTGAATACCTTTCGCAGAATAAGACCCAGACCGAGATAGTTGAAATGCTTCACACGAGTTGCTCCCGTATACCAACATTTAAGCAGCAGGTAAAAGCATGAAATATTTCGAAATTATTTTTCAACCAACATTCATTATCTTCCCCAAAGTAAAAAAAATAATAAATGTCTGATTTATATTGCACAGTGCATTACGCTCATGGACTACTATTCTTCTCTCTTCTTCTTGGAAATATCTTCAATTCAACCTCAAGATTTCTGTACAAAGTTCAACCTTTGTCATAAAGTTGCACTTATATCTTCACGAATCCATGAAGATAGCTGTGGCATGTGCCATCATGCTGTTTCTGAAGTTCTAAATAAGCTGCAAGATCCCGAGACAAAGGTTTGCTTTACTCCGGTGTTTCTTAAAACTAAATGTGTCTACAAGGTTTGATATTTATAAATAAGTTTATATGGACATACTTAGGACTAATTCACACACAGGTGCACGCATATTTTTTATCAAAAAAGTTTGCATTTAAAGTTTTGTACAGAAAATATACACTTCGAATAGAAACTTTAGCTTTGTTGAATGATAATTTTATTCTCGTCTCGTTTGGTTCAATGGTGCCAGTTGGATATAATTCAGCTCCTTTTGAAAGGATGTAACTCGATGCAGAACTACGTGCAGAAGGTGAGTGTAATTAAAGAATTTACGGTCAACTTTTTACCCTCAAGCTTTTACGCATCTGTAGAATCATTTTATCAAAGGATAGACACTTCTCTCAATTATCCGTAGAATTCAACTTATCATGATCTTGCTTGCATATCGGTTTGGTTCCTCTTTTCCCATAGACACGCTGAACTCTTAACCTACGAGCATGTCATGTGTTTTTGTTTGTTGTCAGTGTAAGCAGATAGTTTTCGAGTACGGGCCTCTGATCCTTGCGAATGCAGAGCACTTTCTGAAAACAAATGATGTTTGCACCATTGTTCATGCCTGTGATGGAGGAAAGCAAGCATTAGTGGCAGATTCTTAGTAGTTGAATATCTATAGTTCCAGGAGGATCTGCTGTTGTAATATATACCTATCTATATATATAAACTTGTTGATCTGCAACTGTGTGTATGAAGTACAATATTGAGAATGTTGTTAAAATATTTAGTTGGTGGAATTTGATTGCTTACGGTTCCATGCTGTTGGTTACTCTTCTCTTATGACTGCAAGAAACAAAGACAAAGGTAAAGGATATTTGATTTCTCATATAATTTAGATAATTGTTCGATTTTAATGACTGAAATTTAGAGTATTCGTGATACCTCAATACGTATTATTAATTGTTGAGAATAATTGTTGAATCGAATAATATAAAACCAATTCAATTATCTAAATTAAAATCGATTTAATGATATAAAAATTTAATATTTTTTAGAGAATAATTGTTGAATCGAACAATATAAAAACTATTCGTATTATTAATAACGACTTGAACTTTTTATGAGAAGATGCCGTTTAAACACAATCATTTTATCAGGGATTGTCTTAGGAAAGGCAGGTTAATATACGGTTAATATACGGTAGTATCGGATATATTAAAATGTATTTAATAAATTCGGTTTAGTGGTACCTATTATGTTGACAACTAATAATGTTTTAGGTAGAAAATATGAAAAACTATTAAAAAATTTGATAACCGGTAAACTTTGGTTATCGGTAAGTATCTATCCTTTTTATAAAAGTGTCCATACTTTTAACATATTAAGTAAATTTTACCAGTTTTGTCATAATGAATCTGGTTTTGTCATGTTTTTACCTGTTATATTGTAAAGTATCTATCTTTTTTATAAAAATGTCCATACTTATTTCACTGTGAAAATATATTTATTATTATCTTTGGTTAATATTGTTAAATTTAAATTCTAAATAATATTTTATAAAATATCAAAACAATCAAATAATTTTGTGTGTAAATGAAATTATTAAATTAATATTGTAGGTGGAAAACATGAAACACTATTAAAAAAATTGAAACATAAATTACATAACTTTAAAAAAAGTATATATCATTTTTATAAAAGTGTCCATACTTATTTCACTGTGGAAAACATATTTATTATTATATTTGGTTAATATTGTTAAATTTAAATTCTAAATAATATTTTATAAAATATCAAATAATTTTTTGTGTAAATGAAATTATTAAATTAATATTGTAGGTGGAAAACATGAAACACTATTAAAAAAAATTGAAACATAAATTACATAACTTTTAAAAAAGTATATATCATTTTTATAAAAGTGTCCATACGTATAAAAGTAGGTCTAAGTCATGAAGAAATATTAAAACGATATACCAGGTAAAAATATGATAAAATCGGTAACAAAATGATAAAACCGGTAAAACGTTACCGGATATATTGAAAGTGTCGATACTTTATATAAGGATCGACACTTTGTGAATTTAAAAGAGAAGTAGTTTTAGCGCTTATAATGTGTCGATACTTTAAAAAAATATATCGATCCACAACGATATAACAGGTAAAAATATGATAAAACCGGTATCAAAATGATAAAACCGGTAAAATGATACCAGATATATTGAAAGTGTCGATACTTTCGTAAGTACGTGTAATAAATTATCGACACTTTCAAAGAAATAGGTAATTATCCTTTCGAAAGTATCGACACCTGACATAAAAGTATCGACACTTTTGTATTTGTATCGATTAAATATAAATAACATATCCGATCAAAATATAAGCTAAATCTCCTCTGAAAATAGATAGAACGGACGAGTTTTTAAAAGCGAAGCGTAATTGTTGCTGCATTTCAGGAGGCGTTTCTAAAGCGAAGTTTGTTTGTTTGTTGCTGCAGTCGAATCGAAAAGTATGTTGTCGAAACCCTAATTTTTTATTATTATAGTAATCGCGATAGAGTTTTTATGTGTTGTTTGGGGTTTTGTAGTAAAGAAGCATTTGGGAACGATTGCAGGTAGAAAGTGATATTCAAGGAAAAATATAAATGTCGATACTTTTATTAAATATTATAGGTAGAAAATGATATTATAGGTTGTATAAAATGTGCCGACACATTTTGGTGTGGCCATTCAAATTCTTTTGAAGAAAACCGTTTACCACAAGAGTAGTTATCTATATTTGTATATTGAATAAAGTGTATGTAACAAAATAATTTGATTTGCATAAACTGATATATGAAGGAAAAATGGAGTCAATGGGTTGGAAAATTGTTGGTGGAGCAGATGACTTTGAAATTGAGGCTGAGACTCGAAAGCAACCCAAGGGTGGATATATGTACTTCTAGTAAGTATCAATGTCTTTTTGTTATTATTGTTGAAATGGTAATTGGATTAAAGTATCGATAAACTTTAAATTGATTACAAATTTTAAATGTTTACAGTATGGCCGAATGCAAAAGGATGAAGGAAGATGGCACACAGAGCGGTTCGGTATGTAAAATGAAATTGACATTGAGTAGTATTTAGTGTTAATGTATTGATTAAGAAACGTTTATGTTTTATATTAGCTGACAAAATATGTGAGGTCCAAATGGAATTCAATGAGTGATGCTGAAAAGGAACCTTACATCACACAGTCAAGGAATGATAGTAAAGAATACAAAGAACGGAGGAAAGCACATGAAAATAAGGTATTCATTAAACTTGTAAATACGTTGATACAAAATATATAAGAACTATAACATTATATATTGTTAAAAAAATGTAGGAAGTGTCGACAAGATGCAGTATTAAAAGGGTGAATTTATTAATTAAACACCTTAAGGAGAAGGGTCAGTTGAATGTGCTGGGAGAAATAGGTTTTGGATCGTTGGTAGGAGTAAGGGATCGACCTATTCGGAGGGAATTGTGTCGATCCTTGATGGCGCAATTTGATGTCAGGCAATGTATTGCTAAATATGGTGATTTTTCATTTCCTCTCGGGATCCCATGTGCTGCAGCCGTATTGGGGGTAGAAAATGAAGGCAAAAGTGTTGTAGAAGTCTGTCAGAGTAAGGACTGGAAAGCACTTGCCTCCAAATATGGTTTGAAGCATAAGGTGACATATGCTGAAATTGAAGAGGAAATAAAAAGTGGATCTTACGTTGGGGATGAGCTGAAGGACAGAGTTCTATTATACCTTGTCGGTATATTTCTTTGTCCAACGGGTAATACGTCAACGAACAAAGAACATATGAAGCTCATTTGTGATGAAGGCTTGAAGGGTGAATTCAATTGGGCTGAATATATCCATTCGAGATTGATTGAATCAATAATCACCTTTAAAAAGGGCAGCCATAGATACCTCAAAGGGTGCATAGCAATCTTAGAGGTAAATGAGTTGAAGAACTTTTTTGTGTTTTTATATAAAAATATAAATTTTATTATAAATGCAGGTTGTACTGTTCGATTTTTGGTCGGGCTGTGAGGCAGTGCCGGCTTATGAAAGAACCGGAGTGGCACGCATCCGTGCATGGGGGAAGGAAGAGGTGGTTAGAGTGATGGTGAAGTTGAAGTTGGATAGAGCGAAGAACCAAGAAATGGTAATAAATGTAATTAAATAATATTAAGAATATAATCAATGTCTTAATATTGTAATTTAATTTTGAAGGTTATTGGCAAGGATGTAGAGGAGGCAGTGGAGGCAGAGGAGAAGAAAGGAGGGATGGTTGTATTGGGGGATGATGGTGAGTGGGACGACGGTGAGGGAAAACGTAGTAACTTCGACATTTTGATGTCTGAATTGGCTGATATAAAAAAAATCCAATTTGAAATCATGCAAAGACAATCAAGAGTCGAAGAGAAACTTGAGAGAGTCGAAGATACACTTGAGAGGCATAAGGGGGTAGTGGAAGGAAAAATAGATGGAGTGGTGAAAGAAGTAGAGGTGTTGAGGGGTGAAGTGGTGAAAGAAGTTGGGGTGTTAAGGGGTGATATTAAGATGGTGGCGGGTGAAAAATTTGAGGGAGTGGTGAAGGAGGTTGTGGAATTGAGGAGTGAACTTACGGGGTTAAGGGGGGTGGTTGATAAATACTTGGATGAAGGAGATCAATTGAAGGGTGAAATAAAAGAGATGAAGAGCTATGTAGAAAAAAAAATACGATGAACTGAAATAATATGAAGAAGAAAAGAGGGAGGAGGAAGAAGAAGAGATGGAAGAAGTGAGGAGGAAGGAAGTCAATGTCATTTATACACCGGAGAGTGTTATAGCAGCATATTTGGATTCGGAATGTCCTGCACCCCAGAAGAAGAAACAGAAGGTAAGTTGAATAAAAGAAAACTTAATTTGATTTTTATTATGTTGTTGTGACAAAAATTTGTATGCAAAATTGTAGGTTGAAAAAGCGGATATTCCAAGCGGAATTGATGACATCGAAGCTGCAATTTGTGATTATTTATGGAATAGCGAGTTAGAATCGGAGTAAGTGAAATATATTGTTTTGTGAGTGATATTTAAATATTTCATGACAACATATTAATCCTAATGATTCATACAGATATTCTGTAATCTCAATGGGAAATCAATTCGCTACTGTATACGACGTTGCAACGTTGAAGCCTACGGAATGGGTTGGCGGTGTGGTAAGTAGAAAGTAGAAAATGTTAAAACTTATTGAATATGTTCTGATTGTGTAATTAATTTTGTTAGGTTATCGATTTGCTCGCCTGGACAATATGCTACGATTCTCAAAAGTCACTCCGGAGGATTGGCTACCTTCCATACCTCTTAGCGGTGAGTTAAATTAATAAATGTTGAAAAGTAGTGTTATAGACGGTAAATTAATAATGTTTGTTGCGTAATTACAGCAACATGCGTTGGATGCCAACAACAAAGAAAGTGTTGAGAGTATTTCTACCTTCTGGGGTCTCTATTGGATAACTATGTGAAATTCACCGACTGTGAGAAGGTAAGACACCATACCAATTGCAAATGATGTTTTCGGATATAGAATGTTGAATTTTGTCAAATTGGGTGTGAAATTTGTTGCAGATCATGATCACAATAAACTACCATAATTCACATTGGTATCTGTTGGTGTTGGATATGGTAGATCGTGTTGCAACAATATATGATAGTATGTTTACAACTGAAGCAGCTAAACAGAGAGTGAAGGATGCTAAGAGATTGGTATGTATGTATGTATGTATGAAAGGA